TTTGCCCGCGCTGTGCACTCTGCCCGCGTCTGCCCAGCCCACCTGCCGAGAAATGGGTGCAGGGCCCTAAGAACCCTGCAGAAGCAGCGCGGGAGTCCAGACCTCCACCCCGACGGGAACCCCCCTGCGGGGCCCAGGGTCAGGACGCAGGCCCGTGAGGGTCCCTCTCCTGCTCGCCGCACCCCTGGCCCCCATGGAGATGACAGGGCCGTGCCTGAGGGAAGGTCGGCGGGCACGCTGGGCGACAGCTGGAGCAGCCCCGCGGGGTGCCGTGGGCCAGCTGCGCTCCCGTGCGGGGGGGTCACCGTGGCTCGGGTGCCCTGGGACAGGCAAGGGACACGGGTGCGGCGCTCCGCAGAGGTCACCACGCGCCGCACAACTCAGCGTCCCCAGCCCCTCTGCGGCGGGCAGCTGGGCCCTCGCAGGGCCCACCTCTGGTCGCCCGAGTCGTTCCTTCCTGGTTTTGTCCCCATCCGGGTTCTGGGGCAGCTATTTTGTAAGAATTCTCTCCAACGGAAAAACAGCCTAAGAAATGTACAAAGTCCATGTCCGCCTCCTGCCTGAACCGCAGGGCCTCACCCCACGGTGTCTGCGGGCGCCCGCCCTTCTTGCGCCACCTGCTCAGCTCAGTCCCCTCGCCCCTCCGTGGGGCCTCCGATGGAACATCCCTCTCTTGGTCAATTGGATCTTGCAATCCCCTCGACACGCCCACCGTCCCTTCCCTGGAGTTTTGTCCGACTGGAGGCAGGAGTATTCATTGAGCCTCTTTCTTATTCGTCGGCTCCAGGAAGGAGAGCTCTCTGTCTCACGTGCCCGGTGTCCCCAGAACCCGGAGAACACGCTGCACGTGGCAGGTGTTTGTTGACTGACTAGTGGACCAAAGAGGTGAATGAGGGGAAGCCACATTACCGTATCTCTGAGGTGATGGAAGTAGGTTCAGTGTTATACTCAATAAGAACCGTTCCAAAATACCCCTGAAATGAACGGATCATCGCTTGTCAACTATACTCAAATAAATAATTTTTTTTTAAAAAGTCCAGCAGAAGCAGAGCGGTGTTTCAGATTATGGCCGGGCGCGCTGGCAGCCCCCCCCCTCAGGAGGGTCCCCCGCACCGCTAAGGTGCTGTGTGACTCAGTGTCCCCAGCTGGGAAGGGAGGGCGATGGCAGGGTGCCCCCCGTGTGGTGGTCGGGGGGGGTCCAGGTGGAGCCCCTGCCCCAGGGCCTGCCGTGTGGGTGATGGTGCTGGTGGCGTTCAGGGCCCAGCTGCCGGGGAGACCGGTGATAAGCAAGAGTTTCGATAGCATTTAGAGAGACTAGGATGGGGGCACCCGGCTGGCTCAGTCGGTGGAGCGTGAGTCTTGATCTTGGGGTCGTGAGTTTGAGCCCCACGTTGGGTATAGAGCTTACTTTAAAAAAGAGAGAGCGAGGGAAATAGACTAGGTTGGGGACTGTAGTAGAGAGAGTCACCAGGGATGTGACACTGGGGACGAGACCCAAATAAAGTCAGGGAGAGGGCCATGCAGGGAAGGTGTTCCAGGCAAAGGGAACATCACGTGCAAAGGCCCTGGGGCAGGACCGGGCCTGGCGTGTGGGAGGACCAGCCAGGAGGCTCCGGGTGGCTGGAGCAGAGTGGGCGAGGGGAGAGAGGGAGGAGGGGAGGGCAGGGAGAGGAGGGGGTAGATCGTGCCAAGGCTTGGGGGCCTAATAATATTCTGGAGGGGGGTGCAATTCTCTGCTGCAGAAAGAACAGACCAGGCAAGGAGTCCGTGTTTGGGGCTGAATGGTACCACCCCTTCCCTCCTTGGGGCAAAGCCAGAGAGGCCCCAACTCCCCCCGAATCAGGCTGTGGAGGCCCTGTCCCCAGGTCCTGGGGCGAGGACAGTTACCCCTGGACCACAGGGAACAGCACAGGCTGGGCCAGGGACCTGGGAGTAACCTCAGAGTCAGGGGCAAGTTTAAGGTAGGAAGTGGCCAGACGTGTGAGATGGGCAGCTGAACAGGGGACCGTCCGTGCCGGTTCTCTTGCCCTCCCCTGGGACCCAGCCTCCCCACGCAGGGCAACAACATGGGCAGAATGACCTAGAAAATTGGCCTCAGCAGGAAGTTTGCCTTGGGGAAAGGCTGTGTCCCTGCGATGCCCAGGTCAGAATTCAGGACAGGCGCGGTGGGAGGGCACAGCCAGCCGGCCCCCACTCCCTCACACAGCCTCCCTCCTGTTCCCCGGCTGGAGGCCCGCTGATCCTTGGTTTCCGCGTGCTGTGAGCAACTCCCTCCCCACCACTCCCGGGGCTGTTCCGTGTGCTACGTGAATTCCCAAGCATTTGGGGGGGCATCTAGAATTCAGTTTGGTGTTTCGTTTCATTTTATTTTGCCATAAATAGGGTCGTGCTGTCTGTAGCCGTCTGGCTACCCAGATGTTTTTATCCCCCATCTAACTGAGTCTCAGCTGTCTTCCCTCGGCTGGGAGTGGGAGCCAGATTTCCACGATAACCACGGATTATTTGATCCCCTGCTGATGGACACTTAGGTGAGTTCCGTTTTTCCTCCATGTAACTAGATCTCAGCTGTCTTCCTCTGTTGAGGCCTGGGAATCTCGATTCCACAGCAGACACGGACCATAATTTAACCAATCCCCTGCTGATGGACACGTAGCTTAGTTCTAGGGTTTTTTTGTTTTGTTTTGTTTTGTTTGCCATTTCTAATGACACTTTAGCAAACTCAGGTGTCCACGGTGCCGTGCTCCCTCTCAGGTCTCTAGGGGGGCTCGTTCCTTGCATCTTCCAGCTCCCGGTGGTTCCTGGCGATCCTCGGTGTCCCGTGGCTCACAGCTGCACACCCTCGGACCCACTGTCTCGTGGCCTCTGCTCTGTGTGTCTGTGTCCACGTCTCCCCTTTGTATCAGAACACCAGCCATGGGATGAGGGCCATCTGACCCCAGGGTGACCTCGACTTACCTGGATGGCACCTGCAGAGTGCAGACCCCCCCCGCCCCCAGTTACACAGGATTCATCTCCAGCATGAGCTACCCCAGGTACTCGGGGCTCTGTGTGTATTCATGGGGGGATACTTGGGGGGCTGCAGCTGCTAAGAGGCTGAGAACAGCTGACCAGCTAGCGGGGAGCCCCCATCCAGCTGCCATCTGGCTGGACCCTCCCCACCCGCACCCCACCTCGACCCCCAGGGTCTGGGCTGCAGCCAAGCAGAGTGGAGGGAGGAATACGGGGTGGCGGGGCCAGCAGGCTCCATGCCACACTCCACCTGGCCTCCCACCCCCACCGCCTGCACTCACTCCTGCCTCAGGGCCTTTGCACTGGCTGTTGCCCCAACCTGGAACTCCCTTCCCCAGACACGGCAGGCACTTTCCCTGTCATCCTCTGGGTCTGCATTAGCTGCCTGTGGCCATCACGACAAAACACCACAAATGGAGTGGCTTAAAACAACAGAGACCTATCCTCTCCCGGTTCTGGAGGCCGGAAGTCTGAAATCGGGGTGTTACAGGGCCATGTCCCCTCCGAAGCCTCCAGGGAGGATCCTCTCTACCTCTTCCAGCTTTTGGTGGCTCCGCACGATCCTTGGTGTCCCTGGCTTATAGACACGTGAGGTCAGTCTCTGCCTCTGTCTTCAACGGCTTTGCCCTCTGTAGGTCAATGTGCGTGTCCATGTCCCTCTTGTTATTAAGGACACCAGTCCCTGGATGTAGGGCCACCCTACTCCGATAGAACCGCATCTTGACTGGTCACATCTGCAGGACCTTGTTTCCAAACGAGGTCCCATTCACAGGTACCAGGGGCTAAGACTCGAACATGGCTTTTTGGGGGACGCAAGCCAGCCCACTGCAGGGTCTCAGCTGAGACGTCCCCTTTGCCAGTCTGCGGCCACGCCCCCTTCCACCCTGGCCACCCATCCTTCCTTCCAGAGCCTCTCGGGTGCGTCCTAGGGACTTGCTGTCGGTGTGGATTGAGCTCTGATGTTCCCCAAGCAGGTGCTAGGTTTCACGCACACTTCTAGGCTCTGAGGAAGTCGAAGTGATGAAAACAAAAGACCTTGGAGTGGTTTCAATCCACTGGGAGGAGACAGACAGTGAACAGGGTTTTAAGCTATGCCATAATTTCATGTGGTGGTTGGACCAGTGTAGACACATAAACAGGGAACAAGGTGGGTGGGGGACTCGGGAAGGCCTCTGGGGGCGGCCAGCAAGAATATTTAGAACACTGGTATCTCCACTGGGAGGATGTGAACGAACCCCAGGAGGGCAGGATCTACATCTGCCTTGTTCTTCAGTGTATTCAGAGCCTGGTATACAGTAGGCCCTCACTAAATGTTTTTGGGGGGGCGTTGTACCCCAAAATTGTACACTATATTTGTAAAGTTCTTCTCCAGTTCAATAAATGTTTTCTCTTGCAATTTTTTTATTGAGATAAAATTCACATAACACAAAATTTGCCCTTTTAAAGTGTACATTTCCGTGGCTTTTAGTAACCATCAGCACTATCTAGTTCCAGAACATTCGGTCACCCCAAAAGCAACCCCGTCCCCATCAGCTGTCACCTCCCCCTCCCCTCCCCAGCCCCGGGCCCCCACGAGCCCCTTCCCGTCCGCGGATGAGCCCGTTCCGGACGTGTCACCCACGTGGACGCACACCCCATGCGGCCTTCGTGTCTGGTACCCTCCCTGAGCGTCGTGGGCTCGGGGTCCGTCCCCGGGGCCGCGCGTGTGGGCGCCTCGCTCCTGTTCTCGGCCGCGGGACCCTCCCGTGCGTGGGGGACACGCTGTGTGCATCGGTTCATCTGCTGATGCCCTTGTGAGCAGTTGCCGCTTTCTGGCCCCTAGGAACGCTGCTGCCGCGAACGTGTGTTCAGTTCTCTGGGGCGCTGGGCCCGGCGTGGAGAGACGTGTCTCGTGCGCACCGCTGGGGCGGGGCGCCCCGCGTGCTAATGCCTCCCCCGCCCGCAGGTGCCCACGAGGATGGTGGCGCGGCCCTAGGCCCAGGCTCCGCACCATGACCTGCTGGCTGTGCGTCCTGAGCCTGCAGCTCCTGCTTCTGCCCGCGGCCCCGCCCCCGGCCGGCGGCTGCCCGGCCCGCTGCGAGTGCACAGTGCAGACACGCGCCGTGGCCTGTCCCCGGCGCCGGCTGACCTCCGTGCCCGACGGCATCCCGGCCGAGACGCGCCTTCTGGAGCTCAGCCGCAACCGCATCCGCTGCCTGAACCCGGGCGACCTGGCCGCGCTGCCGCTGCTGGAGGAACTGGACCTGAGCGAGAACGTGATCGCGCACGTGGAGCCGGGCGCCTTCGCCAACCTGCCGCGCCTGCGCGTCCTGCGCCTGCGCGGGAACCTGCTCAAGCTCATCCCGCCCGGGGTCTTCACGCGCCTGGACAACCTCACGCTGCTGGACCTGAGCGAGAACAAGCTGGTCATCCTCCTGGACTACACCTTCCAGGACCTGCACAGCCTCCGCCGGCTGGAGGTGGGCGACAACCACCTGGTGTTCATCTCGCGCCGGGCCTTCGCGGGGCTGCTGGCCCTCGAGGAGCTGACCCTCGAGCGCTGCAACCTCACGGCGCTGTCGGGCGAGTCTCTGGGCCACCTGCGGGGCCTGGGCGCCCTGCGGCTGCGGCACCTGGCCATCGCCGCCCTGGAGGACCAGAATTTCCGGAGGCTTCCGGGCCTGCTGCACCTGGAGATCGACGACTGGCCGCTGCTGGAGGAGGTGGCCGCCGGCAGCCTGCAGGGTCTCAACCTGACCTCGCTGTCCGTCACGCACACCAACATCACCGCCGTGCCGGCAGCCGCGCTCCGCCACCAGGCCCACCTCACCTGCCTCAACCTGTCCCACAACCCCATCAGCACGGTGCCGCGCGGCTCCTTCCGCGACCTGGTCCGCCTGCGCGAGCTGCACCTGGCCGGCGCCCTGCTGGCCGTGGTGGAGCCGCAGGCCTTCCTGGGGCTGCGGCAGATCCGCCTGCTCAACCTCTCCAACAACCTGCTGTCCACGCTGGAGGAGAGCACCTTCCACTCGGTCAACACGCTGGAGACGCTGCGCGTGGACGGGAACCCCCTGGCCTGTGACTGTCGCCTGCTCTGGATCGTGCAGCGCCGGAAGACCCTCAACTTCGACGGGCGGCTGCCGGCCTGCGCCACCCCGGCCGAGGTCCGCGGCGACGCGCTGCGCAACCTGCCCGACTCAGTGCTCTTCGAGTACTTCGTGTGCCGCAAGCCCAAAATCCGCGAGCGGCGGCTGCAGCGCGTCACGGCCGCGGCGGGCGACGACGTGCGCTTCCAGTGCCGCGCCGAGGGCGAGCCGGCGCCCACCGTGGCCTGGGTGACGCCCCGGCACCGCGCGGTGACCGCCGCCAGCGCGGGGCGCGCGCGCGTGCTGCCCGGGGGCACGCTGGAGATCCAGGGCGCGCGCCCGCAGGACAGCGGCACGTACACGTGCGTGGCCAGCAACGCGGGCGGCAACGACACCTACTTCGCCACGCTGACCGTGCAGCCCGAGCCGGCCGCCAACCGGACCCCGAGCGAGGGCCGCAACGAGACGCAGGCGGCCGCCCGCTTCCCGCTGGACCTCACCACCATCCTGGTGTCCACCGCCATGGGCTGCATCACCTTCCTGGGCGTCGTCCTCTTCTGCTTCCTGCTGCTCTTCGTGTGGAGCCGCGGCCGCGGGCAGCACAAAAACAATTTCTCGGTGGAGTACTCCTTCCGCAAGGTGGACGGGCCGGCCGCGGCCGCCGGGCAGGGCGGCGCCCGCAAGTTCACCATGAAGATGATCTGACGGCCCGGGCCCAGCGCTCGCCGCCCGCCCGCCTGACGACCACCTATGCATTTCCCGGACGCGGCCCCGCGGCCGGCTCCCGGCAGAACTGCCCCCTTTTTTTTGTAGAGACACGACCACAGGACTGTTTTTTCATCAGGACTCATCTTTTGCATAGTTTCTCAAGCATTTTCTAAAGGTTTCACTCTGTCTTCCTGCCCCTGCTGTGGTCGCTGAGCTGGGGGGAGGGTGGTTGGGGAACTCGGAGACCCCACAGCCCTCACCGTGGGTGGTTCACACCCCAGGGCGGGGCAGGGGGGTGGTACACAGCTGCTGCCCCAGGGTCCCGCAACACCACTCACACCCTAAGGGACCATGGCCTGCATCCAGGACGTGGCGGGGGGGGCGGGGCTGCCCAGCCCCCAGGGGAGGCACAGCTGGACGCCCCACACCTCTCTCATCGAGCACACAGGTGTTCAACCCAGGACACACTCTTGGACACACAGCTCCAAAACAGAACGCACACACACCTCTACCCAGCTGACCATAAACAGGTGCCCCAGGCTGCAGAGCCCACCTTGGGCACGCAGCGCTCTCGTGAGAGCACAACGCATGCCTGACACATACCCTGCTCACACTCAGGACACACCCAGCTCACACCTGGGACACACACATACCACACTTGAGACACGCAGCACACCTTTGGGACATCCCCAGCTTACACTGGGAACACACTGGGCTCACACCTGGGACACACACAGCTCCCAGCCAGGACATTCTCAGCTCACACCCGAACACGCAGTTCACACTCGAGACACACACAGCTTAGACCCAGCTGACGCTAAATGCGTGCCCCAGGCTGCAGAGCCCACCGTGGGGACCCAGGGCTCTCCTGAGAGCCCAACTCACGCCCGGGACAAAGAGCTCACACTTGGGACGTGCACAGATCACGCCTGAGACACACTCAGCTCACACCCAGCTCCTGCTCAGCTGGCCATCTCGGGGGGAACCTCTGGGGCTGCACTAAGGTCTTGCAGAGCAGGTACTGCCCAGCACATGGCATGCTAGCCCGTGCCCCTGCCCCAGACTTTCCCCCACACCAGGACCCACTGGCCCAGCAGGGCGGGCTGCCCACTAGGAGAAGCCATCTCCCCCGCTTCCTCTGCCACCCCCAATAGCTACCGTTTGCTTCCTCTGCCCATGCCCCTGGGACCCGCTGCGCATGTGGGGAATGAGGCCAGAGAGTGTGGCAGGTTCTGGGGGTCCCCGTTCAGTGCACTACAGGGGCAACAATGGAGAACAAGGCCAGGACAGGGTGCAGGCTGCAGGGGGATCTGGACCTGCGCTGTTGGGAGAAGGTGGTAGGCGCACCTCGGTCTCTGCCACTTTGGGGCAGAGCTAGGGCTGGGGAGTAAGGGAGCACAGGCAGACGGAAGCTCGGGTTGAGGAAGAACTTCCCCAAGGTCACTGCCCTTTGACTCTTCAGATAGTGAGTTCCCCATCACTGGGGGTAAGCAACAGGAGCTGACGTTTTACAGAAATCTTCAGACACTACACAGCATCCATCCGTGACCCTGCCTCTCCCAGGTGGTTTATTGCCCCCGCCATCCATCCACCTGGGCCAGATGACAGGGTGTCGTTGGAGGAAGGGGCACAGGAAACGTGGTGGGACCCCTAGACCAGAGAGGAGCTTGGCCGCCCACCAGGCAGTGAGGACGGTATTCTTAAGGACCTCGTAGGAAGGCTGAAAACCAGGGCTGTTCCCGCCCAGGTGTGCAGTTGTAGCTGATGACTGAGAACCACCTGGACCACGGGGGTCCCCATCTGTAGCATAGGTCTGAGGTCAAATCCACTGCTGCCCATGTATATATGAGGCCAGGTCCACGGACCGGCTTGATGCTTGACCTGGATCCCGGATCCTTCAAGACCTTTCTGAGATGACCCAGAGAGAAGGCTGGGCCAACCCTGGGGGTTTTGAGCACCGGATTCAGACAGAACTCTGAAGGGGATGCCAGCCCTCCTCCCTGGGCTGTGTGGCTGGAAACGTCGGGAGGCCCCGGTCCTGCTCCCCCCTGCCTCAACCCCGCTCGTGGTGAGGCGTAGCGACAGCTGAAGGGGTGTCCTGTGACCCCAAACTCCACCCGAGTTGGGCAGAACCGACTGGTTTTCTCCCTTCACATCCTCCTGACCTTGGTTGCTATAACAACCCCAAAGGCCCCTCAAAATGACATCCAAGTGCCTTTAGCATCATCAACGATGGGAGGGGTGTGTTCTCAGCAGCGTCAGGACACGCAGAACGGCAGCGTATTGGGATCTCCCACCCCCTCTGCTCACCCCCCATCCCAACATGAACCAAGACCCCCTCCAGCCCCCCCAGCCCCCTCCTGCTGTATTTGGTTGGAATCCAATAAAAAATGAAGCTGATTTAATAACGGACTTAAGGGTTGTTGGGTCTTTTGTTTTTTTTTAATTCTCGTGGGAGGACTGGGGGCAGGAAGGAGTGGCTGCTGGGGTCCCCAGGGGGAGCCGTCTGGTTCCAGCCCCAAAGCTGGCCTGTGTCACGGGGCGCTTGTGGAGACAGAAGGACTTGCGGTGATGACATTACAGGTCTTGCTTCGGGAGCACCCATGCTGTTCCCGATGCTGTTCCTCAGCAGCCGGTATTAACTCCTTTCGGGCAGGTAAGAGCCCTGAGAGCTGGGTTCTTTTAGGATCTCACTTTACAGATGGGCCAAGGGGAAGTCAGGGGATGGAGGGCATTTGCCCAGAGTCCCCAGCTGGGGGAAGGTGGGGTGCTCCCCACTGTGCTTCCCCCCTCCAGGCTGGGGGGTCTCCCCCCTTCTGAGGGGGTACCAGCAGTCTCCCTGCTTCTGGAGGCTTGGGAAAAAAAAGCAAGCAGCTTCAAAAAATTTATTTATTTGTTTGTTTATTTGTTATTTGAATCATCTCTACCCCCAACGTGGGGCTTGAACTCACAACCCCAAGATCAAGAGTCACATGCTTTTCTGACTGAGCCAGCCAGGGGTCCCCTAAGAGCAGACAGCTTTTAGGGGCACCTGGGTGGCTCAGCGGGTTGAGCCTCCAACTCTTGGTTGTGACTCAGGTTGTGATCACAGGGTCGTGGGATTGAGCCCCACGTCGGGGTCCCTGCTCAGCTCGGAGTCGGCTTGGGATTCTCTCTCTCCCGGAGCCTCCATCTGGCCCTCCCTTACTCAGGGGCACGTACTCTCTCTCTCAGCTTTTAAACAAAGCACTTTGTCCACCCTTCCTGGAAGGAGGTAGGCCGAGTCAGAGCGGTCAGCAGACCCCGGCCCCAGGCAACGTGGCCAAGGGTGGCCTCTCCCGTGCCGCTCAGCGCCTCTCTGTGGGCCTCGGGGTCCCCGTCTGAAGAGTGTCCTTTCCCGCCCTGCAGGAGACAGCAGTGGGACGGGGACACTTCAGGCTGTGGGGTGGCCCCTCCGTGCCTGATTTCAAAGAAGCCGCCGGGCGAGGATGCCGGCCTCAGGCAAGGATGCTGGCCCTGGGAGCCTCCCTTCCCCTCGTCCTCCCACAGCAAAGGGAGGAGAAACCCGCCCCTCGGCAGGCGCTGCCCGGCTCCCTGGTTCAAACCTGGTGTGAGACCCAGGATTTCCTGAGTCCCATCTCGGTCTTGGGGTGGGGCTGAGGGGTCCTCCTTCCAAGGCCCAGCTGAACGGGGACCCAAACCAAGGAGGGGCCGCTCACAGGGTGTCTGTGGGGTCCCCCCAGAACACAGGACAGCACGCCTGGGCCTGGGAGGGGGGCGCTGACTATCCCTGCCTTGATTTCCCCTCCCAGATGGAGCTTCCTCCAGTGGCACCCTCACACCTCGCGTCTCTGAGCCCCATCTTCCCGGCACAGACTCTCTCTTCCAGGCCCTTCCAGGCAGTGCCCCCCATCCCCGGGAGACCCCGAGCCGTGCACAGGAACGCCCCGTGACGAAACTGAGATTTATTAGTTGACAGTTCTGGAGCTCAAAAGTCTAAAATGGGTCAGCAGGGCTGGTCCCCCCCCCCGGGGCCCCCGGGAGACCCGGCTCCCACTTCTTCCTGGCCCGCGGCTCCCCCCTCCATCCCCACCGCCAGCAGCGCGGGGTCTGCCCATCTCTGGGACTCCCACCCTCTGCCTCCCCCTTGTGAGGACCTCATGAGGACACCAGGGCCCCCGGAAACCCAGGGTCACCCTCACCTTATCTCATTAGCAGCCTCAGTTTCCCCCACATAACAGGTTCATAGGTCCTGGACATGGACACCCTTGGGGGCCACAACCCTGCCCACCACAAAGACGGGGGCATTTTTCTCAGGAAGGCCAGTGTCGTGTGGAATCCGTGAGCACCCCGGCCCAGCAGGACGCGCAGAGGCTGACCCCAAGGCGGAGTGGCCGGGAGGGGCAGGCCCAGGGCAACTCCCATGTGGATAGTGGTGAGCCAAGGCAAGCGGTCCTCATTCCTGAGCCCCAGGGGAGGCCTGTCCAATGGGGCTCGGCGGGGTGCTGGGCACTGTGTTCTCCTCTCCTGCAAAGGCCTCTGGGAGCGCTCCGAGGAGAGGCCAGCCTGAGGCAAGCAAGGGATCCCCGTGCAACCCCCACCCCCACAGACACCCCGCCCCATCCCAGGTGCAAAAGTCCCTGGAGATGTCACCCCAGGTCCCAGCCTGGCCCGTCTGCTCACCCCCAACCCCCCCACCCCCGCTTGGCCACGTTGCTGCCAAGGCAGGGCGGGGCCCAGGCTGGGGCGAGTGAGGCCCTCCCCTCAGGCACAAAATTGAAGGGGAAGCCCAGAACTCAGTCATCACAATCAACATCCCACAAACAAAATGAATTCATGTCCCAGATCCACAATGAACAATAATCCCTCTCTTAAATAAAAATAGGATCTGCCCCGGCAAGACCCTGCCTGGCCCTGTTTCTAATAAAACATCATTTCCCGAAACAGCTGGGCGGCCCACGGCCCTGGGAAGCCAACTAGGTTTCTTAAGTCTCACATGGAAATGTTCTTTATCTCGATTACGGAGTGGGGTTTTTTTGGCCACATCTTAACATTCTGTGCCTGAGGTGGGTGCCTGGCAAGCTGTCCGCCAGTCACGGGTCGGAGCCGGGAGCTCACTGGGGGGCCCCGTGGTCTCATGACGGGCAGAGCAAGGCTGGTGCTCAGAAGGGTGTGGGCAGCCAGGAGGCACGTCTGGTCCCACCAGGGACGGCCCCGGGTTTGTGGAATCCGTCCCCTGGGCTCGTCTTGGAGCCCACACCCTCCCCCCACCCTCCCTCCCGTCATGAGGTTCACAGGGCACCCCACCGATGACAGACGGAGAGTGTCAGTTCTATCGGTTCAGGAAGCTGAGTGTGGGGAAAAGGGAAAATACAGGGTCAAGTTACAGAACCTCACGCTGGAAATGCCTCGAGCTCAGCCGGTCAATTTTTCCCCAGATGTGGCAGGGGACCCGTGTGGAAGATGTTCACCAAGTGGCTTAACCTGCTTCCCCACACCAAGGGCCTGGGGTAGGGTGGGGCACCCAGCAATGACCCCAGGGACCTATCGCTGTGCCCCGACCGGCCGCATGACCCCACAAGGATTCCCTACCCTCTCTGGGCTCACGGCCCCGGAAGGGAAATGGCAGGGGGCAGGGAGAGAAATCCAGCCCCAAATACTCTCCAACCACAATGCGAAAAGGCCGTTGCAACCTTGCCCGCGGGGGATGCCGTGGTTTTCCCTTCACGTGGTGAAGCTGCATTTGGAGCTGGGGCGCCCTTCATGCCCGCGGCCCGGCCGGGCAAGCCTCCAGCCCAAACACAGCTACAGTCTCAGCATCTGGTCCCCTGGATTTTCACCTTTCTTGCTTTTCCACGTGTGGCAATAGTAGACCAACCGTCCCAGAGCTCAGGCAGGCGCTTGCTCCTGAGGCCCCGCCCGGGGTCCCTGGCTGGGCGGGCAGCGGGCAGGGGTTGCTGGGGGCTTCTCAGCCAACCCCACAGAAGGGGAAGCGAAAGCCACAGAGGAAAGAGCCACCTGGGGCCATTTCTCTCTGCCCAGTGGCTGGGGCCCCCTGCCCTCGCCGCCCCCTCGTGCGAGTGCTGGGACCATGGCCGCTGCCCCCCTTGTGGCCCAGGCCCCGCCCTCTGCCTGGAATGCCCTTCCCATCTTTGAGGGAGGCGTCCTTTGCGGGCAGGCGGGAAGCATGGCCTGGGGAAGTGATGCACAGAGCACCCCCTCCCATGCGGTCTGACAGTTGCGCGGCACTTCCGGGTGGCCGCGGGCCACAGGTCAGCCTAGCGGGCCAGGGGCGGCAGTGCCCCGGAGTTTCACCCCAAGGCCGCCCCCGCCCCCGGTCACTCCAGTCCTGCAGGTAGGGGCTCCCGGAGGGGTGTGGTGGGGTGGGGGCGGGCAGAAGCAGCACCTCGCAGAGGTTGGAGTGAAGGGGGGGTCTGGGTGGGGCCGGGGGGGCCAGGCTGCCGAGCTCTGGGAAGGAGCCCCCCCCACCCTGCACGGGCCCCTGGGTGCTATCGTCGGCCCCCAGCTGACCCCCCACCCGGCCCACCCTCACAGCTGGACATTCTATTCAGTCCATGTCACAAAAGCACGGGGTCCTTCCCACTGTCCTGGAAAGTTGAGGAGTGATGTTCCTGCCTCACCCATGAGGAGAGGAGCCCAGAGAGGGCGACACACCGTCCCAGGGCCACCAGCAGGTCAAGCCGGGCAAGAAGACCGAGACTAGCTCCCCGCACCCCCACGCACACCATCAGCGCCCCGCGCGTGCCCCCCCCCTCCGCGTGCCCCCAACTCTGACCTCCCCCCTGCAGCATGAGCGGCCCTGAGCCACCCAGTGAGACCTCTGGGCCTGACGCCCCCACCTGGCCGACTCAGTCCACCTACAGCAACCTCGGTGAGCCCCCCGGGGGCCGGCAGGGGCGGGTGGCTGAGCTGAAGGGCTGAGGCTCCCTCTGCCTGAGGGCAGCTTAGCTTGCTTACAGCGACCAGTTCATGGTCCTCCATAAAACTCTGCTGAGAAAGGAAAAAAGCTGGGATCATCAGCTTGTAAACCTGGGGGTGGGGTCATTTGGCCAGAGCCACGCAGGGACACGGGGTCACCTGGCGTGGGCTGGACACCCCTCTGCCACCGATGCATCCCTCCTCCGTAAGCTGGGGATGGCACCCATACCCCACGGGGCCATTCTCATTCTGCAGATGGGGCAGTGGTGGCCGAGGGGCCTGAACTCACGTCCTTCCCCACTGCCCCCCTCAGGTGAGGTCCGCGCCCAGCTGCTGCCCTCCAAGGCCTGCCACCCCCGGACACCCGGGCGCCCCCCGACTGACTCAGAGCCCATGCCCCCACCCCTGCCCAAGAAGACCCTGGCCAGGACCCAGTCCCTGCCCACTCACAGGGCCCGCAGCTTCAGCCCTGCTCCCGCAGGGCAGCCTCGGAGGCCCTTTCTGGGGTCCCACAGTGTGGACGAGAGCCAGGCAGGCAACAACCGACCTTGGGCCTCCCGTCTGCCTGTGGAACCGCACTTCCACTTGCTCAACAGCCCGCTGGGCCTCGCCTGGCACGACCTGCATTGCCCCAAGGCCATGCACACCATGCTGGAGGCCCGGCAGCTGGAGGGGCTCCACACCGTGCACGCCCGGCTCCAGGCCCGGCTGCTGGGGGGCCACCCGGGCCCCTGCCAGCCCGGCCACGGCTTCCGCCTCCTGGACAGCTCGCCATGCGTGGAGAGCGGAGATGCCCTCTACTACCGCCTGGTGCGGGTGGGCGGCGAGGCGTGGCACATGCTTGCTGCCAAGGTGAGCCTGCCACCACCCCCCTCCTTGGAACTTTCCCCAATGTCCCATCTCGGGCACAAGCCAGAATGCATACAGCTTGGGCTCCCCACTTACTCTGCAACTAACGTGCACTAACACAGTCAGCCCTGGGAACCCCGTTTCTCAGGTGTGGGGCCATGGGCATGCGAATCACCTGGGAGTCTTAACCCCCCCACCTCCTGGGAGCCCAGGAGTCTGCATTTTAACCCAGTCTCCAGCGAAAGCCGCTGAGTTCGCCAGCCACGTTAATGATAATGATCAGTCACCATCAAAACGTCTGGAGTGTTTCTGGGTGCCCTAAGCTATTCCGTTCTAAGGATCCCAAGATGCCCTTACCCACCGAATCTTCACGCAACTATCACCACATTTGTCATAAGATCCTTCCATTTTTATGCGCCACTCAGGAAAAAAAAAAAAAAAATCCCTGGTAAGCCACCCCGCATCAGACACATCACCGTTTTAGAGGACCCTCAGCAATTAGACCACCTGTGCTGGGGGGGGCCCGTCCCTTTCACCCCCTGCAGCACCGAGGGAGAACAGTGTTGCTGGCTGCGTGTGTAGTGGGCAGTTGGATCCTGGCTCCAGCTCGGAGGCCCCGGGGGTGTAGTTTTTAAAACACCCCCCCCCCAGGTGATTCTAATGTAGTTCCCAGAGCTGGTGCTCCCCCGACCTCAAAAGAGCTTTGTGGTCCAGTACAGCGGCCGTTGGCCAGTGGGACGTCTGAGCCCCTGAACCGGGGCTGGTCCCCATGGAGTGTCCGCTATGCACCAGATCTCCAAGACTCAGGATCAAAAATTAACCATAATGCGAAACACCTCATTGGTAGCTTTGACGTTCACGACTGTTGCGTGATAACATTTTGGATATATCGGATCAAATAAAACAGCGTATGGGATTTATATTCACGTTTCTTACCATGTTTAGAATGTGGCTCCTGGAAACGTTTAATTATACCATGGCCTGAGTCCCGGCCTTGGCACCTGTGCTGGCCCCTTCCTCGTGCCTCTGGAAGGCTGCAGTTTGACCCCTAAACACCAGGGTCCTTAGCGGAGCTTTCCCTAAAATCATGCTGGCGACACACATCCCAATTAACATGTAACTCCTGCTTCTGGGGGCCGGTTGGCCCGCTCCCCCCTCCCAAACCGCCATGGGGGCGGGCGGGAAGGCTTCCGCGGTCAGGGTCCTGATGGCCCCCCTTTGCCCCTCAGGTGCCCAAGCCAGGAGCTGAGGAGCCCCACCCGTGGGGCCTGGAGCTGCAGGCCTCGCTGGCCCCGCACTTCAACCTGCAGGGGCTGTGCGGCCTGGTGCCCGAGGGCGCTCTGCCCAACATGCCCTGGAGGGGCCCTGTGGTGCTGGTGGCCGAGGTTCCCGAGCGCACGGTGACCCAGTGGCTGTCAGAGGTGGGCAGGAGGCCGCGGCCCGCGGAGTTCCCCTGGGTCGTGGCCCAGCTGCTGCTGCAGCTGAGTTCAGCCCTGGAGCACCTGGAGGCGCAGGGCGCGGCCCTGATGGAGCTCCGGCCGGAGAACCTGCTGCTGGCGGCGCCTCGGGGCTGTGCGGCAACCGGGCCCCCACGCCTGCTCCTGGCCGACTTTGGCCGCGTCCACCCACGGCGCCTGGGACCCCCCGGCGCCCATGCGCAGCAGCTGAGCCACCTGCTCCGCGTCCTACTCGGCCCTGCTGCGCCCCCAGCCACGCCCTTGGCCTCTGGCCTGGAAACTCTGGCGGCCCAGCTGGCCCGCTCGCGGCCCTCGGCGGCCCAGACGCGGGCTGCGCTGCAGACGCTGCTCTGGGGGCCTGGGCCTGAGCTGCACCGCCAAGGAGCCCCACTAGGGCCCTGGCTGCGGGTGGGCCGCGCACTGCTCGTCCTACACCTGGCCGAGCGGGCCGCGGCCGGGGTGGTGCCGGGCCTGGAGGACTGGCTGTGCTGTGAATACCTGGCTGGGGCCACGGAGGCCTCCCTGGGCCACGCCCTGGCACTGCTGTGGGACTGACGCCTCCCAAGGGCCTCGCCGAGAGGTAGGAACCCTCCCCAAACCTGGGACCAGAAGGCCCGCAGAGATTGCCTCCATGATGGTGGGGACACCCTCTTCCAGAAAGGGCCAGAAGGCCAGGGGAGAGTGTGGGACTGTGGACACCTCCTCTCCAATGCACCCCCCTTCTGCTCCGGGGACTTAGGCCCAAGTCCTTCTCAGGAAGGCCGGGGGCTGGGGGCTAGTGGCCAGTGCCTCCTGAGGCTTTCTGAGGCCAGGATGGCCCAGCCCTCTTCCAGGTGTGGGCACTCCCTTTCGGCCAAGGTCTGTGTGAGTGTGGGGCCCCTCCCCCCACCTCCCAGCAGAAGTGAGGCTGCCCTTCTAGTGCTGGAGTCTGAGGGTCACGGTCTCGGTGAGAAGGTGGGCACTGTCCTCCATCTCTGGCCCTGGAGCACCCCCTTGTGCTGCAGATGGCCAGTGATTGTGTGAACGTCCTCATCTAGACCTGCTTGGGGTCTCCAGGGGGAGGGGAAGCTCCTAGAACCTGAGACACCCAGCCCACCCAGCACAGCCTGCCTGAGAGCCTGAGCTCACCTGCCCGGGCGTCCCCATGGCGCCCCCGTGCCCTCCACCTCCCCCACTCTCTCCACCCAGCGTGGCCTCCGCGCTCTTCCTCTGTGAAATTCAATTCTGTCCAGCCGCCACGCTTCTGCATGGGCTGTTCCCTTGCCAGACTGTCCGAATCTCACCTCCTCTAAGCAAATAAAGTTGCCCCTCCTGGGCCCGCTGTCGCTCCTCCCCGTGCCTCCCCCCAGAGCACTGATCACCACCTGCAAGTATTTCTCTCATGGCCTGCCACCTGACCACTTCATCCACCAGGCTGAGTTCCCTGAGGGCAGAAGCCAGGCTTAACACACAGTAGGTGTTTAATCTCATAGGATGATGGAATCAACTGGCAAGGAAGACTCATCAGGGAACCTAAGGGAGAAAACAGTCTCAGTTTACGCCTCTGAAAAATGGGACACACAAGCCCTGAGCGGCCCCACTGCCCTTACCTCTGGGGCCTCCAGTCATGCCCCCTCACTTCTCCTCCCCCACCATGGCTCCCTCAGGTATGACCAGGTTCCTCTCCTGCTCAAACCTCTCCCATGGCTCCTTAGTACCCTCAGAATAGAGTGGGGCTCCGCCAAAGCCTCCACAAGCTCTCTCCGGCCAACCCCTCCTGCCACATTGCCTACCTGCGGAGCTTTCTGAGCTCCAGAACTTGCCCAGGTTTTTTTTTTTTTTTAAGATTTTATTTATTCATGAAAGACAGAGAGAGAGAGAGACAGAGAGAGAGAGGCAGAGGGAGAAGCAGGCTCCCAAGGAGCAGGGAGCACGACACGGGACTCGATCCCAGGACCCTGGGATCATGACCTGAGCCGAAGGCAGACGCTTAACCATCTGAGCCACCCAGGCGCCCCGCCCAGGTTATTTCTTGCCCTGGATCACTCTCCCCTCTCTACTCGTCTGCTTCAGACTCCTATTCATCCTTCAATACCCCAACTCCAAAGCCCTTTGTCCACCCTTACACTCCCCCCAGACTGGAGTGTTGTCCAACTGTCCCTTCAGAACTCTGAAGACCAGCTCCATCCTCAGGTAACTGAACATCCTACCCCAGCCCCAGATATATTCCAATCCCTGCAAGTACCTTTCCTGCTCCATAAAAATGCCTTTTCAGCCTCTCAGCTGAGGCCTGGTTTTGACTCTCTGGGGCCATGCTCTCAGATGCCGCCAGCAGGTGGCGCTGCAGTCCTCCCGAACCATAACCACCCCCCTCCCAGCCGACCTCCCAGCCGCGCGCCCCGCATCCCTGCCGTGACCCCTGCTGCCAGAACGCTCCTGTCCCAGCACAGCCCTGCAAGGCCCTCCCCAGGGGCTACTGGTGTCCACCGGGTCCACACAGCTGCTAAAGTGGGGGCCCAAGTTCAGACACCCCCACACCTCAGCACCTCAAGTCCCAGGTTGCCCTGGCCACACCCCACACGTCGGCAGGAGGCAGAGGTGAAACTGTTCAGGGCAAGCAGGAACTCAGCGAGCCGGCAGCCGTGGCCATCCCAGATAAGGATGCCGGGCCAGGGGAGGGGTGGGGCAGCCTGCCACCCAGAGCCTCCTGGGGCTGCTATAAGGACTGTGAGAACGTGAGGTACAGAAGCACCGGGAGCCCCGGGGCCTGGCCTTGCATCAGATCCCACAGGAACGGGGCCGTGGCCAGAGAGGTGAGGGGGTTCTCTCCCGCAGAAAGGGGTCACAACAGCTCAGGGCAGGTGCACACCCCCTGCCCCAAGCCCTCCAGTCCCAGGGTGGCAGGTGGGGGACAGTGGCCGGGGGAATACCACTGAGCCAACACAGGTCTTGGAGGTGTCATCACTTTTATTCAGATTTTTCAGAGCACTAGAACGGTAGATTAACACCTATCCAAGATAAGAGACCTAAGATTTCCAAAAGCCTTCAAATAAGAAACTCCTCCTCCAAATACAGGAACAATCGGAATCATCTTAAACCAGCAATAAAAAAGTAAAATATAAACTTTTATTTAGAATTAAAGCAAATACTTCAGTATCACAAACACAATATTAAACTTCAAGAAATATACCGCTAATTTGGAGTGAGCGTTTATTTGCACAATTACAACATGCGGACAAACCCAGCAGAGGAGCAGGCCTGATGTCTGCACCCCGCACACCAGTCGGTCCCACCACCCGCACTAAGCGCAACACACGCAAAGGGACTGCGATCCAGGGCTCCGGCGGCAGCAAAGCACGAGGGACGCAGGCGGCACCGCCACTACTCCTCCTCACCCGCAGACTCTCTCTCAAACGTGTAGGCCATGAAGCAAGCGTCAGGTCTCTTGGGGACAAGGGGATGCCCCGGTCTCACAATCTCAAAGCCCAAAAAGCTGAAGGTCCGGAGCAAGGCGGCTGCGGGGGAAATGGGAGTCAGAGCTGCTGCCGGGGCTTGGCGGTGTGGGCAGGTGAGCAGGGCCCCGGGCGCCCCGTGGCTCCACCACCCAGGGAGCGCGCCACGAGTCCCCTACCTCTGTCGTCGCGGTTCTTGTGGAAGCAAATGAAGACGTGGGCGGCGTGGAGCTGCTCCTCCGCGAACTCAAGAAGCACTGCAAAGCTGAAGGGCCGCCATCAGCCCCGCCAGCCGCAGGCCTCACTTCTGGGGGCACCCCCCCATTCAGGGCCCAGCAGCACCCGGTGACCACGGCCACAGACCCGCACCCTCCCGGGAGGGGGGGAGCAGATTCTCCTGAAGACTGCTGGCCCCGGCACCCCGACCCGTGGAGGGCCTAGCCCCTCACCTGTCCTTGCTGCCCTCGGGCAGAGCGCCGCCAGGGATCTCGATGTACAGGCTGCAGCCGCTCAGCACCGCTCTCCAGTTAATGTGTCTGGAACCCGTGAGCCTGGTCTGGACGTTCAGAATCCTCGTCTTGCTGTTAGACGTTAGTTCCTCTGTTACATTCAGCCGATTATCCTGCAGAGGGGGAGAATGCTCTGTCCGCACCTCAGACACCAGCCACCTCTCACCGCCGCGGCCCCGCGGGCTTCCTCACCACAGTCAACACTTGGCAAAACCCAGAGAGGCACCAAAATGACCCCCCCGCTCCCGGCACAATGCTGGGGGGGGGGTGCTGGGCCCAGACCCCAGGGAGCACCTGTGCTGGTTCCCTGAGGGTTAATAAACCCAATGGTGGAGGTGAGAAGTAGGGGCATACAGGTGTGCTTCCCCCGCCGCCCCCCCGCCCCCATGGAGCCAGCAGGATGAGGTACTTACAGAGTAAAATAAATTAGCTGAAAGATTGTGATCCCTCTGACTATTCCCTCGCCCACCTGGGATCTTCAGGGGTGGGTGAGGGACATCAGGAGCACCACCGAGGCCCTGGACCCAGGTTACTACAGCAGTTAGGAGAGACCCTGGAACTGGAAAAAAAGGGGCGCTCAGCCCGACTGGGAGGAGCCCCCCAAGGCCCAGCAGAAGGCCAGGGCCCTCCCAGTCGCCGCCCTCAGCCAGGCTCGTGTTTACACTGCGAGCCGCGGCCACTTCCGCCTGTCAGGGCAGCGGGCCAGCGCTTGGGGCTCGAGGGGCCCCCGGGCTTCCCTGCCCCGCTGAGCCATCTTACACCAGGCACCGGGCCCGGCCCAACCCGAGCCCTCCCAGTCCTCCGACCGACTTCCCGTTTTCCACCCCGGCCCAGTGGACTTCCCCTTCTCCCTCCCGCAGGCCGCGCAGAAAACCCGACCGCCGGCCCCTCCTGGCCTCCGGCGGCCTCCCGACGAGCCCGGCCCCGAGCAGGGCCCCGGGCGGCGCCCCTCCCGCACCCTCCCCGCGGGCCTCGGGGTTGCGTCATCGCGGCAGACGCGGCCCGCGGCCCCGAGGGAGGTTTTCACAATCGGCGCGCTCGGCAGCGCCAGCAGCCATTTGCTGCGCAGTGTAAACAGGGCCCAAAGTCGCCTCCATTTTGCACGGCTCGCATCTGGGTGCCCCCCCCCGCCCCATCCGCGGCCCGTCGGCATCCGTGCTAGGGACCGCGTCCGCGGGGCGCCCCCCCATCTCCACAGCCAGCCCGGGGGGCGCCGTCGGAGACCCTGCCACCTGCCGCAGGCGCGCGTCGTCGGGGAGCCCCGGGCCCCGGACACCACCGCCCCCGTCTGGCCGTACAGCGGAGGGGGCGGCCGCCGGCCCCCCGACGGAGGCGGCCCCGGCCGCGTCTACGTGGCGCCCTGAGCTCCGCGCGTCCTCGGGGGTCCCGGCGGCGGATCCCACTCGGTGGCGCTGCTCGACCCCCCCCCTCGCGGTCCACGACAGCCGGCCGCGCCCGCCTCGCGCCCACCCACCCCCCCACACCCGCCCCCTCGCCGGGCCCTCGGGGACCCCGAAGCGCTGCCGGAAGGGGTGACCGCCCGCCCCGCCCCCAGCGCGATTGTGCCCTCAACAAAAAGGCGGATCTCGCGCTCCCGGGACCTTCGTGGCGCCCCGCGGCCGGCTCCCCCACGGGCCTGCGCGGCGGCGCTTCTGGAAGCTTCGGGCGGGGGCGGGGCGCTCACCTCTCGCTGCTGCGGCCTCCGCGGCTGTGCAGGCTGAGGAGCGGCATGGTGCGGGTGGCGTGGACGGTGGTGCTGGGTTTATCCCCCTCCTTCTCTCTGGCGAAGCAGTGGCTGTTGAGGATCCGCTGCAGGGAGGATTTCACCATCCGGCCGCTGGGGTCCGAAACCAGAAAACCTCCGCTGCGCTTCTCCGCGCCGCCGCCGCTGCTCGCCGTTCGCAAAATGGCGCCGCCGCCGCCGCGGGCCTTTATAGGCGCCCCGCCCGGGCCACGCCCCCACGCCGCCTGGAACGAGGCCGCGCGAGGGGGCGGGGCCGCGGGGCCCCAGAGAATTCCAGGCGCGCCCGCCCCTCTCGGCATCTGATTGGCGGACGGTCAGTGGTGGGGGCGGGGCAGCCGCAGGTCCCGCCTCCTCCACCGCTGTCGTCTCCGTGGGCACGCGGGAGGCGGGGCGCGGTGGCGTCGCGAACGCGGCGCGCGCGCCCCCGCCCCCATCAGCCGGGCCTGGGGGCGGGGGCGGGGGCGGGGGCGCCCGGCTCTGCGGGTCTTCGAGGGGCTGGCGGTGGTGCCGTCTCCGCCGTGGCCGTTGTCGCCCTCGCTAGGGTCCCTGCCCTTAGCGGGGCCCCCTCTCCCGGGAGGTTCGGGGCGACAGAGGCCCCCATATTCGCGGGCAGGAGTCCCAGAGCCCGCACCCCACGGGGCGGAATTCTTTTCAGTGATAACCTCGGAAGGGTCGGTCCAGCGGTGGTTTTCTGGGTTCGGTCTTGCGTTTCAGAACAGCCGCAGTTAAAGAGAGAACCTTCTGTGCTGAAGATACTCGGATTTAATGAAATCGTGCGTGTCGCGTCCGTCCTTAGTCAACAACCCTCCTGCTCCCAGGGAAACTCAGAGCCTTCCCGGAGAAACGCAGGCCCCTCCCGGGTCAACGCAAACCCCTCCCCGGTGAGCCTGGACCCCTCCCCAGGTGAACGCGGACCCCTCCCCGGGTCAACGCAGATCCCTCCCCGGTGAACGCAGACCCATCCCGGGTCAACAGAGACCCCTCCCCGGTGAACGCGGACCCCTCCCCGGGTCAACGCAGATCCCTCCCCGGTGAACGCAGACCCATCCCGGGTCAACAGAGACCCCTCCCCGGTGAACGGAGACCCCTCCCCGGGTCAACGCAGACCCCTCCTGGGTGAACGCGGACCCCTCCCCGGGTCAACGCAGACCCCTCCTGGGTGAACGCGGACCCCTCCCGGGTCAATGCAGACCCCTCCCGGGAGAACGCGGACCGTCCAGGCGGGAGTCCCGCTCCAGAAGGTTGGGAGCGTTTCCCGGTGGACCGAATCGTGCACTGACCTTGCAGGTCGGCTTCCTTTCATGGTTTTTACTTTTTAGGCACAAATAGAGGCTGGGGAGAGTTAGGTAGAATTGAAGCAACTCCTGGATGTTTTTTTGTCTTCACAATCCACGTGTCTCGTTTCATCTCATGTTTATTTCAATCTACTGTATCCATTTGGGTTAGAGACACAAACTTTCCTCAAAGAGACCTTGAATGATTGCAAAACCCACAGGAGCTTACTCTCCAAAGCACGTCCACTGAATCCCTGTGTGTCTCTTAATTCCCTTCCAGGAGGCAATGCAGTGTTTATTATCATACGATAATTTCAAGTAAAAATGTCTTATTTACAGCTTCCATACACACATTATGAAAACTCAACCAAAACTCTTAAGAACTGCATGTGTTAGACCAACCAAGGAATTTTCCTGGGAAAAATATTTAATCCGTGACTTTAGAATTGCAGCCTGTGGTGAAAATTAAAAGCAAGTAGATTCTTAACTTTCCAATTGTTTTCAGTTGTCGTGCAGAGGTGCAGGCTTTCATTGTGGAGGCCCCTTCCAGCCCACCCACCCTGGGGCGCTGATGCCATGTCCTCAATATTTGTAGGATCGGTGTCTTTGTTATAATGTAGGCCCTGTCTTTTTGAGGCTGACAGAGCCTCTGAGTTTTGAAATCTGGTTGGGCGGGGGTTTTCTTTGGTTTTTTTGGTTTTGGGGGTTTTGCCTCTTGTTGGCTTTCCAGCATTTTGCGCAGATGAGTGATTCTGGGCCAAGAGTCCAGAATCCAGACCTGCCACTGGTCACTTGGTCAAATGGTGTCTACCCCCCATGCTGAGGCCAGGAAGTGACAGAGATCACAGCTGACCCTCAGCACTGGTGGGTTCGAGACTGCCCTGGCCCACTGCCCAGGAAGAACCTGGTCCGGTGAGATGTCCACCAGAAGTCCTTACCTGCCGGGGGCAGAGTCTGGAGAATGAGGTGTAGCCCTCTTCAGCCTATGGGGAACCAGCCTTGAGAGACCCAAGACTCGGGTGGGAAGGGGCGCCTGGGTGGCTCAGTTGGTTAAGCAACTGCCTTCGGCTCAGGTCATGGTCCTGGAGTCCCGGGATCGAGTCCCGCATCGGGCTCCCTGCTCAGCAGGGAGTCTGCTTCTCCCTCTGACCCTCTTCCCTCTCGTGCTCTCTGTCTCTCATTCTCTCTCTCAAATAAATAAATAAAATCTTAAAAAAAAAAAAAAGACTCGGGTGGGAAGAGAAGGGTCCTTCTTCATCAACAGGCTTTGCGCTGTTGCTGGCCAAAGCACTCTTTAATTTGGAATCATCGTGGGTGGAAAGGGGGAAAAAATGTAGCCTCTTGGTAAAAAACAAGTCGCAGCAACTTGCAGAGAAGCAGAAGTGGGAGAGAAAGGGGGTGTGTGGGGGGTCAGGTGGGGCAGGGCATCTGAGTCAGGGAGAGTCACTGCGGGGAGGGGGCAGGGCATCTGGGGGCTCCCAGCGCGGGGCAGTGGTGTAGGAGCAGTGTCCCTCATCCTCTTGAGGAGGCTGGGCTCTCGGTCTGGGGATGGCTCCCTCTGCTTGCTGTCAGGGAGGTGGGGGCAGCTGGCATGAGGAACATTTTCGCTGGCTTTACTGGCTGTGGGGGCGGGGAGGGGACCCAGGCGCCTGCCACCACCAGGATTGGAAACACCAGGGTTCAGGTACTCCCGCGGCAATGAATTCCCACTACGCACAGTCAGGCTGGTCATGTCTGGGGGCCGTCTGGGCACTGTGGGGTGTGAGCACATCTCTGGTTCCCCCCACCACTCAGTGCCAGGAGCTCCCTCCCCCGGTCGTGACAACCACAGATGTCCTGAGACACCGCCCCGTGTCCAGCAAATGTCATGTTCTCCTTTCTCCATCTACTCTGGGTGCACCTATAAATGCTGAGTCTGTGAGGAAGGACACCTCCACTCTCAGAGGACCTCGGGGGGAGGAAGGCTCCGGATCAGGTGCTCAAGGCAGCCTGCCCTGGTTGGGCTTGCTGGGGACCAAGAGAGAAACCAGACTGGCGGGATGGGCCTGTGAGAGGTGAGGGACCCCCTAGACTGCAGGGTAGGAAAGAGGGGTGTCAGGGAGGGCTTCTTGGAGGTGGTGAGAGCTGAGCTGCAGGTACGGGACAGCAGAGGGTGTGGCGTGAGCATGTCAAGGAGGGAGAGAGCCCATGCCTCATGTCTGGGTGAAATCAGTATGGCGATGTTAGGTATCTGGGGGTGCCAGGGAGGCTGGGGGGGTCTCACTCTGATTTTAAAAAAGGAATTGTAGAGTATAGTTGGCTGAAAACAGCGACCCAAAACCATGTCCTAGTTCCAGAACATGTGGGTGTATCACCTCACATGGTAAAAGGGACTATGAGGTGGGAGCAAGTCACGGCCCCCGAGGAGGGGGTGACCCTGGGTTCCCGGGGGACCGGCGTCCTCACGAGATCCTCACGAGGTCCTCATGAGAGGGAGGCAGAGGGTAGGAGTCCCAGAGATGGGCAGACCCCGCGCTGCTGGCGGTGAGGATGGAGGGGGGGCCGCGGGCCAGGAAAAGACCGGAGCTGGGTCTCCCGGGGGCCCCAGGGGGGACCAGCCTTGCCCGCGCTGGGGTTTTAGGACTCCCGAGCCCAGTCAAGAGAATCAATCCCTGTGGTTTTAAGCCACAAAATTGGTGGCCATCCATCACAGGGGCCCCGGAGAGCTCCCACGTGGAATAAGGCGAACCTTGGGCATCTGGGTCAGTGACAGCGGTGGCATGTGAATTTCAGCCAAACACACGGATCTCTAGTCCATTCTGAAGTGTTTCAATATCTACATCCGACTTTAAAATAAAACGCAGAGACGGGGCCGTGGACACGCGGCTGGAGCCAGACAAAGCGAGCCCGGCAAACGTTACCGGTGGGATGGAGGCAGAGGTGTGTGGTCTGTGTCCGCTGGAAAAGTTCCTCAACGTTTGGAAATTTTCATAATAAAACACTAAAGAGTAAAACTGGAAGAAGCTCGAAGCTCCTGTTATCATGCCCCCAGCCTGGCCCTTTCTCTGATCTCTGCTCCTGAGAATGGAAAGGCAGGCCTTTGGACCGTGTGGACCAAGCTGCAGGAAAACAGGCAAGAACTGAGGGGTGTCAGCCAGCCCGGCAGCCGTCTGGCCACGGATCCACACGCACGTGTCTGGGGCCGTGAGATAGAGCGGGGGACCACAGGCCACGCAAACACGCACGTTCGAAGCCCCCGAGGGGTTGGATGACACAGACGTGAGCAGGGCTTATCTCAAACGGGCGAACTGTTCTTCTTATCTCCCTTGTACTTTCCATGTCCACGCTCCTGGGTACACCCAGTGAGGCCAATGTTTCCGCAGAGGTTTCCTGATAGAAAACGGTCCACAGGCGGAGGTCAGAACACGAAGGCGTGGCTATTTCCTGCCCCACGTGCACCCTCCTCTGTGTTCACCTAGTTTTACCTTCATTTCTACAGAATTTCTGTTGCTAAATACGAGACCCACGGGGCGCCCAGCGGGCTCAGTCAGTGGAGCCCGCGACTCTCCATCTCGGCATTGTGAGTTTCAGCCCCACGCTGGGCGTAGAAATTACTTAATAAATAAATAAATTTAAATAAATAAATAAATAAAAAATAAATAAATAAAGCCAAGAGCAATGGATGTTCACTGAGGACACTAAATATATACGGGCATATTTCTTTTTTTTT